TTAGGGATTTTCGAGTTCGTTTGACATGTTATTGGTTTTGTGTAAAATTGTGCTCACGAGCTGGTAAACTGGCCGAGCACACTGTCTGGAGCGTGGACTTTTAGTGCAGAAAGCGCGGGTGCATGAGAGAGAGAGTTTACGGAGGTGCTACTATCTTAAAGCTGAATGTATTGTTTTCTATATTGGTAGCGGTATATAGAAAAACATTAAGTTATTTTTGTATTCATATATGTTTCTATTGTATGACTGTGAAATACATTTTGGTTTTCATGTGAAATCATACAATAAGACAAGGTTATTTGTGGAACATTTTTGAATTCTGCTTTAAGTAAAGTACATTTATGTTGTGTAATTTAAAGTGTGCACTTGTTTGATGTGAATGTTTTTAAAAGTACGAACAAGAAAATAGAAAATTGAACAAGATAAAAAATAAAATAAAATAAAAACATTCTCCAGAATAAAGAAAGCGGCAGAACTTTGCAGATGTAAACTTGTGTCCTTTCTTTTTACTATTACAGGCCACCTCAGCTACAGACTGAGGCCGGTAACAAATACACCCAGTCACTACAAAGATACAGGCGTCCTTACTAACTCAGTTGCCGGAGAAGAAGGAAACTGCTCAGGGATTTCACCATGAGGCCAATGGTGACTTTAAAACAGATACAGAGTTTAATGGCTGTGATAGGAGAAAACTGAGGATGGATCAGCAACATTGTAGTTACTCCACAATACTAATATAAATGACAGAGTGAAAAGGAAGCCTGTACAGAATAAAAAATATTCCAAAACATGCATCCTGTTGGCAATACGGCACTAAAGTAAAACTGCAAAAATGTGGCAAAGAAATTAACTTTATGTCCTGAATACAAATCGTTATGTTTGAGGCAAATCCATAACAACACATTACTGAGTACCACTCTTCATATTTTCAAGCATGGTGTTGGCTGCATCATGTTATGGGTATGCTTGTCATCGGCAAGGACTAGGGAATTTTTTTTAAGGATAAAAAGTATAGAGCAAAGCACAGGCAAAATCCTAGAGGAAAACCTGCTTTCCAACAGACACTGGGAGACAAATTCACCTTTCAGCAGGACAATAACCTAAAACACAAGACCAAATATACACTGGAGTTGCTTACCAAGATGACATTGAATGTTCCTGAGTGGCCTAGTTACAGTTTTGACTTAAATCGGATTCAAGATCTATGGCAAGACTTGAAAATGGCTGTTTAGCAATAATCAACAACCAACTTGACAGAGCTTGAAGAATTTTTAAAAGAATAATGTGCAAATATTGTACAATCCAGATGTGCAAAGTTCTTAGAGACTTGCCCATAAAGACTTAACAGTGGTAATTGCTGCCAATGGTGATTCTAACATGTATTGACTCAGGGGTGTGAATACTTATGTAAATGAGATATTTCTGTATTTTGTTTTCAATAATTTTGCAAACATTTCTAAAACATGTTTTCAGTTTGTCATTATGGGGTATTTTGTATTCAGGCTGTAACGTAACAAAAGTCAAGGGGTATGAATACTTTCTGAAGGTACTGTATGTATAGACATAACATATTGTCTCTTACAACATACCCTTATACATACAGTATGTTATTTTTTTCCTTAGGGAAAATTAACATCAGAGCAAATTAAATCTTGGGCAGAGGGAAGTACATCTGCTGGATAAAATATACAAGGCAGAAACACCTACTTACCTAACTAAAAACTGATATTCTCTTAGCAACAATAAGTGATTGGGTTATCATTGAAATCCTTGTCCTGAATGTTCAGACTCATTCATATCTGAGACCTTTAGAGGAGAGTAGGAGCATTATCAAAGTTGTTTGACGAGTTACCATGGGGTCTGTGATGTGTACCCCACTGGATGATATGTGCAATGTGTCTTTGCTGCTGCGTAGAAGGAAGAGGCCAGTGGAACTGTCAGAGTTCCCACAGGCTGCATATGAGGGCTATCAAAAATATTCTTGACTAAACTATCCTCCCTCCTCTGGGATGATGTCTTGGTCAACAGCCCACCTTCCAGATAGGGATCAGAGGGGAATCCGGAGTCTACGCTGTATGGACAAAATAAGCCACTAAGATGAGCATTTCTCTTTCAGTGTTGGGATATGTGTATTATTTCTAGATCCATTCCAGTGGAAAATAACTGGTTGAAAAGACATTTGTTTAAATGACGTCATTAGTTTCTGGCTGATTTAATTACGGTACTTGCTTTGTGATACCACTGGCTGCCGATATTTATAAAATATTTCATTAATCATTGACAGCATTTGAGATTGTGAGAATAAATACCACATATGAAAACACTACATGGTTAAAATAGCGAAATAAATCTTTAATACGTCTAGTTGCATTTGTACATAAATTACATACATTTTGGTAGACCTATTCTTGTTACCATTTACACAAATCGAATAATTCTTTTAACATTCATACAAAAGTTGATGAGTTTGTAGTAACAACATGGCAAAATATTGTTCAGTATTATATAGAGCAAGGAAAATAATAGTTTTGGTAAGTCACTCTCTTCTTGCAAATTGGTTGCAAAACCTCCCTAAAAGTACTGGGAGACCATGAAGATGCACAATATTGTGAATTGATCTGTGGTTTCTATTGCAGTCCAGTATATACTATTTACTTTCAATAAAATAACACCATAGCGGGATAGATGCACCTTTGGCTTTGAAAGAGAAAATCAATTGAAACCCTTAAAGACATTTTCTCTTGAGTGAGCAGGTTGGGTGCAGGAAGACCACTTGAGGGAAATAGGAGCACATTTCTATCAGAATGCAGACTTCTTTTTTTTATACCTGCATCTACAACACAATCCACCATTCTCTGACAAATACTATTCAGCATGAGGGCATTTTATTAAATCAAAAACAATATAGAAATTCAATAAATAAGGAACTGATAAAAACAAACATAATTTAGATCACACCATACATACAATTTTACATCACTTTAAAAATTTGAAGAACAGAACATACTTTAACAATGTTCATTCTGGTTAAGCTAAACATTTCCACAGACCAGAACACAGGTCAACACAGTGACTAAGAACTGTTTGAGGTGCCTCTAACTTTCTGAAAGGAGACCACTAGTGTTTTTAGAGGAGAATTTGCAGAAGTCAGAATTGAGAAATCATGCAGAGCCACTTGTTGATACCACCTTTGATGGTTGCTAAAGTTAGCTAGATACCTGCACCTTAAATAAGACTACACAAAAAATCCTTTGAGTCCACTCCATGTTTATAGCTTTAGGGCTCGATTAAACCCGAATCACGATAGTTCAACGCTACAGCACAATTGAAATGTAAAGGTAATTTCCGATTGAGCCAACATATGCAGCGTTTACCGTGAATACAGTCTCCGTGAAGACTGGAACATTGCCTTTAAATTTAAATTGCACTATAGCGCTGAACTTCCGCGATACGGATTGAATCGAGCCCTTAATCAACACTAAAGGGAACTGGAACTGACAATGAATCTGGTTTATACCTCAGTTACAGCCTATAAAACCCCATATGGATGTTTTGTTCTTTACTTTGGATAGAAGGTATTCTAAATTAAAGAGTGTTTCTGTTGGTTGAAAGTGCATACTGTAGGGCCATTAGCTAAGTTCCAGAAGTGCAAGGGTAGAGGAGTGGCCAGGTATTAGATTTCAGTCCTATTCTATTCAGCACTGACAAACTGCAAACAATGAAGGACTGGCCCATACATAACCATTTAAATACACAGTTGACAAAACAGTAAACTATGTCTATCAATATCATTCATATAACAGCATCAATACATTTTTCATTTTTAACAAAGAATACCCACGTATGAAAAGGGAATAATGGGTCAAATGATGTGTGAACTGTCTACTGAAGTAGAACCAAAATTACAGTCAGAACCTCTTAAATTGTAATATTAGCACAGCCGAGTTGAATACAAGGAACACTTACTGTACAAATACTATTCCAAACAATCAATAAAAATACTGTGAACATTTTATATACATCTCTGAGGCATATAAACCTCTAAATAGACTAATATTTAAGGACATACAAAGTATGCAAAAAATGAAATAGTTGGATCTTTCCTTACTATTAGCAATTTAAAACAAAGTAAGCTTGTTGTGCTACTGTAGTCCTGATATGATACATGCAAAAAAATCATTTGAGGTAAGAAAAGAAGGGGATACCTAAAATATACAGGTAGAATACAGAAACACTTGCTATTGGGATGTGTTTTCAGCAAAGGTTGTCAACAATAGAGGAGGCTTTCACTGATAGAGAGTTGGTCACTTGTCAACATATACTGTATGTATGCTATTGAAGTTTGAAACAAAAACAGTGGGGTAAAAAACAGCCATTGAGTAAAATCGAAGATTGATGCTACAATGTCCTATACACTTGTGTTGTACTATACTGTTGCCAGAAGAAATGGGCTGAGTATTGTAGTACTGTATTCTATAGGTCAGAGGGACATGTAGGGTACAAGTGCGCTCTGAAAACATGTAAGGTCCATAAAAGAGCATCCTCTTTTAGCAACCTGTGCTATTTCAACGCGGTGACTGAAAATTATAAGTGTAAATGAGAAATCAGAAACATTCTGAAGCTTATAATGGTTCAAATCACTTCAAAACAGGCTCTTTCTAAGATAACAGCGCAACCTATTCCCATCTTATTTGATACAATGTTGTTTAATGAACTGGGATAGAGAGTTTGGGATGTCTTGCAGCCAGGTGTTGTGGACATTATAACTTTCTCTAAAGTCAATCTGATAAATTCCTTTATATTGTTCAGCAACAGATTCAGTCAGTCTACCCCTTGTAGGTAACAGAGGACTTCTTTATGTCATCATGACCTCATCCATTGAAAATAATGGATTTGTACAGTATGAATCTGTTTCTCCGGAGAGTGGCTGGGTGTGGCCATGTTCTCATCTCTCACCCAGCCCAAGTGTCATTGAGTTGAGCGAGGCCCTCTCCCCATCCCTAGCAGTTGCTGCTGTTCCTGAACTCTCCGTTCTCAGTGATCTGGAGTTTGCTGGGGTTGGTGGGGGAGATGCCGTTGCGTGTCTGCATGCTGTAGCGCTCCTTCAGCTGGGTCAGAGCGCTCATCAGTCGGGCGTTGGCCGAGTCCAGAGAGGCAATGCGTTTCTCCTGCAGAGTGAGGAGGAGAGGGGAGGGAGGAAGAGAAGGACCAACGGATGACGAGAAGAGGAGGGTTAGTATTGTTACACATTCTCACACAATCCAATGAAACCTTCATAATATTGCTGATAAACTGTAGCTCCTCAGTAGACCAACACGACCTAATCAAAACAAGCAGCCACTATTGTGAACAGAAAGGGAATGTTTCAGACACGTATTGTCCACGTACAGTCCATACTGTACTTGTTACAGTAATTCCAGTTACTTGTTTTTTTTTGCATGGAGCTGGACTTTCATTTTCAATCTGAGGTCGTTTACATTGTTTTTACACCAGAGGGCGCTGTCCTCTTCAAGACCTTAGTCTGACATACAGTAAATCTGTGAATACAGTATTTCAGTAAATACAGTATATTCACAGTTGTGGAACTGTAATTGCTGATACAGCCAATTCATCTCTCGTGTACACTAAGCACTCACCTGGGCTTCAATGATCTTCTGTTTTGAGTCCACTATCGATTGCATATCCGAATGATCTTTCTTCAGTTCCTCCTCAACAGACATCAGCCTGAAACAGTAACAAAGATATGTTTGTACCGGTGGCTGGTGAAAGCTGGAGTTGTTGACTGATTTTTTTATTATAGTGATGTTAAAAATATTACATTTATCTTCTCGATGCATAGCACCGACAACACAACAAATAATACGTATTTTTTTTTGTACACAAAACCAGGACCATATTACATAGTTCATAGTGAGTTAGTGTAGGCAGAGAACCGTGGGGACTGGTGAAGGGAGGATGGCTCATCGCAGTGGCTGGAACTGTTCCATTTATTCCATTACAGCTAGAGCTGGCACAATTACTGTATAACCGTGTAACCAACGGTTATGGATGAAGACCATCATAAAAATAAAATAACCGTAAAAAAAAAAAAAAAGTCTGGCCAATTACCGCCATCAGACTGTTTAATAGTCACCACTAGCCGGCCAGTACCCCAAACTTTAGTCACTGTTACTAGCCGGCTACCACCTGGTACTCAACCCTGCACCTTAGAGACTGCTGCCCTATGTACATAGTCATTGAACACTGGTCACTTCATATGTATATACTGTATTCTAGTCAAGGCCCATCCTATATAACTACTGCTGTACACACCTTTTCTAGTCATATACTGTCCATAATGTCTATAGACACACCATCATATACACATATATTTATATTCCGGACTCTGACATTGCTTATTGTAATATTTCTTAATTCCTTTCTTGATTTTTTATTTATTTGCGTATGTTATTTTGTACTGTTAGGTACTACTGCACTGTTGGCGCTAGGAACATAAGCATGTCGCTACACCCCGATACAATCAGCAAAATATGTGGACGTGACCAATAACATTTAATTCAAAATTCCATGACCCTAATTACAGCCATTAAAAAAAGCCACAATTAACCTGTCCTCTGATTTGAAGTGACACCAGCCTCCACTGGTAGGTAGAGGACACCCCACCTGGTGATGATGCTCTTCATCTGGAGCTCCTTGTCGTCCTGCTGCCGGCGCAGGCGCTCCTCCGTGTCCTCCAGGCGCGCCTGGTACTCCAACAGCATCTTCTGGGTCTGCTCGTCCTGGCCCTTCAAGTGACACTCATACTCCTCCAGCTTCTTGGCTGACAGACGCAGTTTATCCTGCAGGATGGCGATCTCCTGCTGGTACTGGACACAGGACAGATTGGCCGTGGTGAGTCAGTGACAACATACACATTCGCGCACATACGTGCATGCCCAAACGCACGCAAACACACCTGTCATTCTCATACCACCAGAGGTCTCTTCACAGTCCCCAAGTCCAGGACAGACTATGGGAGGCGCACAGTACTACATAGAGCCATGACTATATGGAACTCTATTCCACATCAAGTAACTCATGCCAGCAGTAAAATTAGATTTAAAAAACAGATAAAAATACACCTTATGGAACAGCGGGGACTGTGAAGCAACACAAACATAGGCACATGCATACAAACACACGAGTACACATGGATTTTGTGTTATAGATATGTGGGGTCCCAAGTGGCGCAGTGGTCTAAGGCACTGCATCGCAGTGCTAGCTGTGCCACTAGAGATCCTGGTTCGAATCCAGGCTCTGTTGTAGCTGGCCGCGACCGGGAGACCCATGGGGCGGCGCACAATTGGCCCAGCGTCGTCCAGGGTAGGGGAGGGAATGGCCGGCAGGGATGTAGCCCAGTTGGTAGAGCATGGCGTTTGCAACGCCAGGGTTGTGGGTTCGATTCCCATGGGGGGCCAGTATAAAAATGTATGCACTCTGGATAAGAGCGTCTGCTAAGTGACTAAAATGTAAAATGTAAATGGTAGTAGAGTAGAGGCCTGTGGGCACACACTTAATATGTTGTGAAACCTGTTATGAATGTATTGTAATGTTTTCAAAATGTATAACTGCCTTAATTTTGCTGGACCCCAGGAAGAGTAGCTGCTGCCTTGGCAGCAGCTAATGGGGATCCATAATAAATACAAATACAGCTTCTAGTCATGCTGTGAAAAGCCAACTGGGTTCAAATGCAGGATCCTGCAAAGCTTTTAGGTACATTTCTGCTCTCTCTAGGAAATTCTGCAAGCAAGTGAATTCAGAACAGATATAAACTAATACATCCCACAGCAGTAAACAAGCTGCATGATCAACCTCTTAAGTCAAATGGGATTTAAATACAAACCTATTAAAAAGGGCCCTTCAACTAACGATTTTATAAAGGGGATGTATTGTTAGTAATTGACCAAAATAATAAACAGCTGTTTGATTTGTAAGAATCACCACTATCGCTTTAAAAGGACAGTGATTGGTTCCATCTTTGGCAGACCTAACATCTTTGAAATAATCACTAAAACACCTCTTGAAAACAAAAGTTGTCTATCTATAAAAAAAAGTCACACTAAAACAATCACTAAAACACCTCTTGAAAAGAAAAGTTGTCTATCTATAAGTTGAAAACCATTAATTTGTGTATGTGTGTGATGAAAACGTGTGTGCGAGTGCAATATGTTGCTGGTGTATAATTCAGTGGAGTAGCTAGGAAAATTGTCAGAGGGAGGGTACACTTGAATTGTCACCACTGTCTTTTGAGATATGGCCTCTCTTGAGCTGCAGTACGAGCAGTTCAGCCTAACCCCACCTGTCTACCTACATTTAAACAACATCAGAATAGAGGCTAATTCAACTCGTATACAATACTATCATTACACTACCAGTATATATCATGGAGCATCTCTCTGCACACACACTATCATTTTCCATACCATTTAAGCAGCATTTAACCTTCAATATTCACATGAATTCAAATCATGGACAGGCCTGCTAGTAGGGAGAGATACAGAGTCTTTGTTATGTCTTTGCTTATGGCTCCGCAACCCAATCACTTCATTGTTGGCAATCAATAACAACCCTAGAATCACGTATTAATTGCTCATGTTAAACATTAATCTTTTATGACTTTCTGCTTCTCCTATAAAATAATAAAGATGTCTGTAAGTAGCTGTGCTGAATGATGCTGTGATGTGGTGCTGTAGCAGATGCTAGGTTTTACAAGAGGCTAGACGTTAGTTACCTTTTCAGTTTGAGTGAGCTCCTCTTTGTTTCGAAGGTCTTCCCTGTGCTTGGTATCAGGGTCAAGTCCCTCATGGTCTAAATACTGCACATTCATATTCAACAGCCAGGCAGCAGTGCGGTCCAGGGCATTGGGGTTCACAGGGGAAGGCGCCTGGTGGAGCAAACACACAAGCCTTCTGGTAAGTAATGGAAAAGAAGCGCGGCAGGGTAAACTAATGTTGCATGTTGAAGATCACAAGCTACAATGAGAAGTGTCTACAGAGGAGTAGAGGAGAGCCAGTGTATTCAGCTAGGGGGATTTAGAGGAACAACTGTGAAGCAAGTGGGAAGGCACAGGGATGCTTGTTTTGCATTGTCCTTCTGGAATTGTCTAAAGAAGATTTTAATCATTGTTTGAATTTATTTGTTTAAAAGCAAAACGGTTCCTTTAGTCTGTATGTTAAACCAGTCTTTTCACCTGCCCCCCTGGTTTGTTCTCTAATAACCCCTTCTACTCTGATTGGGACCTGGAGACTGCCACACACACCCACAGAGATCAAGCCCAAAATAGAGTAGGACACTTGTTTTGTTTTAATTCTAAATATTACGAAGGGGAGGGGGGCGGGGGTTCAGTTGACAAATGCTTGATCATTTTATAAGGAGGATTTATTCAGACCACCAACAAAAATGATTTAGTTGGGCGGAACAGGCATTTAATAACCACTCCGGTGTCCACAGTCACACAATTAATTATGTTTGTCTAGTCCGTTAGCAGGCTCCAGCGTTGACGCTTGTTAGGGTACTGCCTGTGGCTCACTGCCCTGGGTGATTTGCTATTGGCTCAGCAAGGCCGAGTGTTATGATAGCTTATTGAGGCCAGTTGGGCTCTCCATACATACCCTCTCCACCCACCACTGTGACTGTGAGCTGGATACCTCCACCCGAGGTCATATCCTGCCTGGCTCATCCCTCTAGGCCACAGATGAAGTTAGGCTAGCAGAGCTGGGTTTATTATTCTGTAGATCAGCCATTGGTTATGGAGAGATACTCCTCATCAGAATATTATTTCCTACCTGCAGCACGAGTACATGCAATCCAAACTCTGGCTAGATAGATATTAAGTGGTTAGTCAACCAAGAGCTTATCTCTAATAAAAGCCACCAGACACAGTGGCCGTCCAGGATCATAGTGAGACCACACACAGCCACAGCCACAGCCCCCCCCCCCCCCCCCCACACATACACATGACATGCTCTACTCACTTTGTGCAGGGTGTGCTGCTTGGTCTCAGGACTGTCCCCTTTGGACGAGGACGACTGCTGTCTCAACCGGGTGCCGCCACTGGGCCCCCAGTCGGGAGATGACATCATGCTGCCGCTGGAGGGCCGCGGCACGGGGTAGGCCGTCTGGAGCATGTTTGGCGGCGTCCTGCCCCTGGTGACTGGCGGAGGGGGCTGGTCTATCCTGCGCTGGGGTCCGGAGCTGTTCTGCCGCGGGGGTTCCATGAGGACCAGCTGGCGGCGGGTTGTGAACTCCCCTGAGCGCCGCGCAAAGTCCTCACTGCTGCTGCCTCCCGCGCTCCCGACTGCCACCCCTTGGGTGAGGAATACCCCCTGCTGCTTGGGGGCGTCCTCTGTGTTGTTGCCCTGAGAGCTGTGAGAGCTGTGGCCCTCGGAGCCTGAATCGGCCAGGGGACCCCGCGGGGACACGCTCATGGTCATGCCCGTGGCCATCTGGTAAACGGGGTTCTGGAATGAGAGCGGGGTCAGGAGCTGGGAGGGCCTCCCTGGACCCGGGGTGCTGCTCTCTGTGCTAGGGTTGGTGGGGGTCTGACCCGTTCTCCTGAGGGTGGGTCCGGGGATAATGCCCTGAGGGGTGCGGGCGGCCCAGCCCCCTGGCCCAGGGGTGACGGGAGACTGGCAGTCATTGAGGAGCATGTCGCTGGGGGAGGCAGGGCGGGGGCCAGGGGTACTCTCCAGGCTGAGGCTATCTTGTAGGTCCACCATGGATAGACTCTTGCTGGCATTGGGGAGCTGCACCTCAGCCTCGTTGGCCTCTGAGTAACTGGAGCTTCTGGCTGGAGACTGCTGGATGCCAGAGTTCCTCGTCACAAAGAATAGGTCCTTGTTCTCTGGGGTTGGCGACGGCAGCCTCGTAAAATCAACCAACCTGTACCAAGACAACAGTGAAAAATGAGATACATTTTGTTTTGACCGGAGACACTGTAAAGACAATATCCTTGTGGTTCCCAAAGAACGAAGCACAAATAGCACTATATCATTAGAATGCCACTGTGGCCCCCTTACCCAGAAAGCTCGCTGTCCATGACCATCTTGTGGAGAGGCAGGCCGGTGGAGAGGCTGCAGCCTGCCAGGGGGAGGGGAAGGGGGGGGGAGCCCATACGCTCCGTGGGGGTAGACACCTGGACCCCAGACGGGTTGGTCAGTGCTGAGTTCACGTCCCGCAGGATACGGGCCAGTGGACCCAGCTTAGAGGCTGTGCTCTGCAGGGACACAAAATAATAACGTGAAGTATACTTCTTTACAATTTCTACCATGCATATGTCTCATGCAATTCCTGAGAACTCATTATTTAGTAACATGTCTTTTCACATATAAAATCTGTACGTTCACAATAGACTGCTATCCTAGCATCTTTATGTTAAGCCCATTGAAAAGGACTGATTTCCGGTAGCTCTGTTCGCAGAAAGTAGTGAGTATTGTGAGAGTAAATCAAAGCAGTGTGTTGTAATCCTGGTACCTGGTCCAGCTGAGAGACGGTCTCTGCCAGCAGGGAGTGCAGGGTGGAGAGCTCGCGGCCCAGGTCAATGTAACCCTCGAACCCTGACGTGTTGGAAATGGTCTCTGGGTTGGAGATCTCCAGAAGGAAGCGCTGCATGTTGGTCCACTCGTGCTCCAGGAACTGGTTCATAAAGGACATGTACTCCTCCTTGTTACCAAACCTGGACAGACAAAGAAACAAAAACCAAAACAGAGGGGAATTATGCTATTTTCATCAGACAAACACATACAGTGAGGGAAAAAAGTATTTGATCCCCTGCTGATTTTGTACATTTGCCCACTGACAAAGAAATGATAAGTCTATCATTTTAATGGTAGGTTTATTTGAACAGTGAGACAGAATAACAACAAAAAAATCCAGAAAAACACATGTCAAAAATGTTATAAATTGATTTGCATTTTAATGAGGGAAATAAGTATTTGACCCCCTCTCAATCAGAAAGATTTCTGGCTCCCAGGTGTCTTTTATACAGGTAATGAGCTGAGATTAGGAGCACACTCTTAAAGGGAGTGCTCCTAAACTCAGCTTGTTACCTGTATAAAAGACACCTGTCCACAGAAGCAATCAATCAATCAGATTCCAAACTCTCCACCATGGCCAAGACCAAAGAGCTCTCCAAGGATGTCAGGGACAAGATTGTAGACCTACACAAGGCTGGAATGGGCTACAAGACCATGGCCAAGCAGCTTGGTGAGAAGGTGACAACAGTTGGTGCGATTATTCGCAAATGGAAGAAACACAAAAGAACTGTCAATCTCCCTCGGCCTGGGGCTCCATGCAAGATCTCACCTCATGGAGTTGCAATGATCATAAGAATGGTGAGGGATCAGCCCAGAACTACACGGGAGGATCTTGTCAATGATCTCAAGGCAGCTGGGACCATAGTCACCAAGAAAACAATTGGTAACACACTACACCGTGAAGGACTGAAATCCTGCAGCGCCCGCAAGGTCCCCCTGCTCAAGAAAGCACATATACAGGCCCGTCTGAAGTTTGCCAATGAACATCTGAATGATTCAGAGGAGAACTGGGTGAAAGTGTTGTGGTCAGATGAGACCAAAATGGAGCTCTTTGGCATCAACTCAACTCGCCGTGTTTGGAGGAGGAGGAATGCTGCCTATGACCCCAAGAACACCATCCCCACCATCAAACATGGAGGTGGAAACATTATGCTTTGGGGGTGTTTTTCTGCTAAGGGGACAGGACAACTTCACCGCATCAAAGGGACAATGGACGGGTCCATGTACCGTCAAATCTTGGGTGAGAACCTCCGTCCCTCAGCCAGGGCATTGAAAATGGGTCGTGGATGGGTATTCCAGCATGACAATGATCCAAAACACACGGGCAAGGCAACAAAGGAGTGGCTCAAGAAGAAGCACATTAAGCTCCTGGAGTGGCCTAGCCAGTCTCCAGACCTTAATCCCATAGAAAATCTGTGGAGGGAGCTGAAGGTTCGAGTTGCCAAACGTCAGCCTCAAAACCTTAATGACTTGGAGAAGATCTGCAAAGAGGAGTGGAACAAAATCCCTCCTGAGATTTGTGCAAACCTGGTGGCCAACTACAAGAAACGTCTGACCTCTGTGATTGCCAACAAGGGTTTTGCCACCAAGTACTAAGTCATGTTTTGCAGAGGGGTCAAATACTTATTTCCCTCATTAAAATGCAAATAAATTTATAAAAAAATTTACATGCGTTTTTCTGGATTTTGTTGTTGTTATTCTGTCTCTCACTGTTCAAATAAACCTACCATTAAAATTATAGACTGATCATGTCTTTGTCAGTGGGCAAACGTACAAAATCAGCAGGGGATCAAATACTTTTTTCCCTCACTGTATACACATGTATATTTTCATGGATGCGCACACGTATGCACACACACACACACTCGTACACACGCACAAGTACACACACCCGCACTTACTTGGTGAAGTTGGCGAGGTTCTGTGTGACCTTGGCGATGAGCGTGAGGGTTCGCGCAGTGCGGTCGTCTGGGTACTCCTGCATCAGATTGAAAAGCGACGGGGACATGACGGCCGGACACAGGAAGCGCAGGAACAGAGAGGCGCTGATCAGACGCTCGCTGATGTCCGGCCGGCCCCGACTGCTGCACTCCTGCCTCCACGAGGCAAACACCTCCTTCAGCTCCCGCGGAAAAACACTGCATGGAAACATTGGTAGGGAAGGAAATGTTACCGCTAAATACAATACCGCCATGTTGTTTTTGACTTAACCTTTTGCACAATTCATGCATTCATTATTGATTCGATAATTGTGAAAGCTCTGAAAGATGGACAACTTGATAGTAGAGTATGAGGGCTAATGCTAGCTACTTGCATTGGCAGAGAGGGGGAGGGGTGTGTGTTTGTATTTACCGGTAGGAGTCGATGATCTTGCAGAAGGCCAGCTCACAGCACATCTTCAGGTTGCTCTGGTGCTCAGGGAGGTCTCCTGAGGAACACTTCCCCGGGTCCACCTCACAGTTCTCGTCCGACTCGTACAGGGCTTTGATGAACTCGCCTAGAAGAGAGAGGGAGGGAGCACAGCACAGCACACAGGCCTGGGGTCACTACTATGTCTAGGACTACAATCTACAGTACATATAGGATTACAGTTATGGAGTGGTTTTAATGGAAAAAGAAATTGCATTCAGATTCAATTTCTTTTTACACTAAAATCACTCCATAAAGACTACAGTTCTGCTAGTTGGAACACGCTAATGCCATGCACACCGATAGAAAACCCACTTATTGTACTAAGAAAACAGCTGCTGCTATTTGTTATGACTGTTTATGGACCACTGGATCATTATAATGTGGCGAGTTAAATATCCTGTGACGCATGACAAAACATGCAACAAAAAAAAAAAACTGTTCCCTTTATTGAATTGATTTCCTTTCGACTCTATTTGTACACGGCCATAGACATCACATCACAGATTTAAATCACAGGTTTCTTTCTTCTCGCCACCCCGCAGTCGATAGACGACTAAAGAAAGAGCCCTGAGTTCTCTGACAGACTTCTATTCCTTTTTCATACTTTTAAATCGGGCCAGTCAACCTTCAAGGACAGGCCGCCTTTCTGCATCATTCAACACGGCTTCAAACAAAGTCACTTTCCAGAAACACTGGAATGAATTATTGATCTGAATAGTCAATTGAAGATCTACTGTGTGTGGAGAGTACAGGGAGTTTCTCTGACGGCCAGATACTAGCCTGGATGTAGGATACTTAATGTACAACTCATAGGTCTATTCCATGTGTTCATGGCTCCTTCGCTCTCTACTAAAAGCATTTCTCTCTCTACTGTAATGGTAGCACTCTCTCCTTTAGTGTGTGTGGGTGTTACTTACCTAGTGCGTCCTGCAGGTATTTCTGCCCCACCAGTTTAAGGTACTCCTCGATGGCTTTGGTGGCCAGCGTGTTCTCCCTGAAGATCAGGTGTTCGTTCTCCCCACAGCGATCCACTTCTGACATCATCAGGTCAGTCAGGAAGTCCTGAAAGCAAAATGGAACAGTGGGGCAGTGTTCCAATACTTTGAAATTCCTTCCTTCCTTCCTGTGAACTCACCCCATTGAATAGGCAACAGCAAGGGATCCATAACATAGCTTTCACAAATCCTATCATGTCAGCACAACAATTTCTCCCAAGGAAGGGAGGAAAAAAGTATGCATTTGGAAAGCATTGGAACAGGGCATCGGTGTGGCATCGTCCCATGTTCACCTCCAAGAACTTGGAGACACAACATTGACAACACGATGAGCGAATGAGCAGTCAGAGCAGTATCATGGAACAAGGCAACCATCAGCGCTGCTTTACCGAGGTGTGTTATGATGTGGTAGTGATCTCTGTAGACGAGTCCTGTGAAGAGACCTACTGTAGATAGTGTGTATTGCAAGCAAATGACCCTATCAACGTGATCTGAAATGCAGCATGTGTACAGTTTCTACATAAATAAATAAGTGTACTCCTATTGCTATATAGCCCAAGCGTGATAGTGAGCCTGATATATCCTGAAAACAGTGGGTTTGGAGAAAGAGTCAGTCGCAGGCAGCTCAGACACAAGTGATGACTCACTCTTCCGCTCTTATCGATTCTGGTCTAATGGATCATCCCTCCCTTCCCCCCTCCCACACACAGTCACTCTCAGGCTGCATCTTTCTTAACCAGTCACACTCGCTCTCCATGAGCTTCTGTTATCTGCTCCAGCTCCATCTGACTGCAGTTACTTCTATGGGAGGCCTGTGGGGGTAGGCTAACGCTAGGCTATGCATGCTAATGAGGTGTCAAAGGGAACCTGCTATCGTAATCTTAAAGTCTGCACCAGAGAGAGGTAGACATTTCAGCTACTGTATATGCATAGTATGTAGCTACTGTATCAGCCAAATGTAGGCTAGATACCCGAATGCTCCTCGTCAACATATCTGGTGTCTCCCTGGCTCTGACAAGACGTGATCCCCGTGCCAGATCATTCAACCATGACGCTCTCTGAAGGATGCAGATGATTATGAATGTACGATGTGCTGTTTATCCTGTGCAGGGCAGGCTGCAGGGCAGGACAGGAGTCAGAGCGCTACCTGCCTGTGTGTTGAACGAGGATTTAAGGGCTTAATATAGCACTCCTCTTAGCCCTCATCACTGATGATGACTCTCATCCATGGTTGATGTGGATGAGCAGCAAGCCCAGCTCGGCGCTGGCTCGGCTCCACTGACAGACAGACACACAGTCACACACAGAGCCACATATACACACACACACTATGCTATACACGTCTCACACTCCTATGATGAGACGTGCCGGCATGGTTACGCATTCACAATAGTTGTTGGAATCGTGCTAGGAAAGGAAAATGTGAAAGTTAAATGTCCAAGCCAGCCCTAGCAGAGTATGGTTCAGATTGCCACAATACTAGTGTGAAAAGGGTTTTGCTGTCCCTACTGTTACCCTCAGACAGAACTGGAGAATGGCTAGGGAAGAGAACGGCTAGGGAAGTCTTTAACATGCACTGACTGCACTAACTAACACACTATGCACACTAACACAGTATGCCAGGTGGGTTTGTAAATAGATCACATAGAGCAATATTGAGAAATATTTTAGATCTCTGAGAAGTTAAGCTAATTGATTGCACCCAAATTGTCAATTTTAATTCATAGGATTCATATAATATTCAATATAGTACCCAACACCCGAATTGGACTAAACTTCTTCCTACCAATGATTAAGACATGAGGAATCCCCAAAAATGGTCAAAAGCCACCCACGGACCCACCACACCAATCCCACCCAAGCAACCAGTACACAATATCAGTTCACTATGTCTAACAAGTATCAATCAATCAATCAATCAATTTTATTTTATATAGCCCTTCTTACATCAGCTAATATCTCGAAGTGCTGTACAGAAACCCAGCCTAAAACCCCAAACAGCTAGTAATGCAGGTGTAGAAGCACGGTGGCTAGGAAAAACTCCCTAGAAAGGCGAAAACCTAGGAAGAAACCTAGAGAGGAACCAGGCTATGAGGGGTGGCCAGTCCTCTTCTGGCTGTGCCGGGTGGAGATTATAACAGAACCATGCCAAGATGTTCAAAAATGTTCATAAGTGACAAGCATGGTCAAATAATAATCAGGAATAAATCTCAGTTGGCTTTTCATAGCCGATCATTAAGAGTTTGAAAACAGCAGGTCTGGGACAGGTAGGGGTTCCATAACCGCAGGCAGAACAGTTTAAACTGGAATAGCAGCAAGGCCAGGCGGACTGGGGACAGCAAGGAGTCACCACGGCCGGTAGTCCCGACGTATGGTCCTAGGGCTCAGGTCTCTCAGTTGGCTTTTCATAGCCGATCATTAAGAGTTGAAAACAGCAGGTCTGGGACAGGTAGGGGTTTCGTAGCCGCAGGCAGAACAGTTGAAACTGGAATAGCAGCAAGGCCAGGCGGACTGGGGACAGCAAGGTGTCATCATGCCCGGTAGTCCTGACGTATGGTCCTAGGGCTCAGGTTCTCAGAGAGAAAGAGAGAACGAGAGAATTAGAGAGAGCATACTTAAATTCACACAGGACACTGGATAAGACAGGAGAAGTACTCCAGGTATAACCAACTAACCCCAGCCCCCCGACACATAAACTACTGCAGCATAAATACTGGAGGCTGAGACAGGAGCGGTCCGGAGACACTGTGGCCCCATCCGAAGAAACCCCCGGACAGGGCCAAACAGGAAGGATATAACCCCACCCACTCCGCCAAAGCACAGCCCCCGCACCACTAGAGGGATATCCCCAACCACCAACTTACAATCCTGAGACAAGGCCGAGTATAGCCCACAGAGGTCTCCACCACAGCACAAACCAAGGGGGGGGGCGCCAACCCAGACAGGAAGATCACGTCAGTAACTCAACCCACTCAAGTGACGCACCCCTCCCAGGGACGGCATGAAAGAGCACCAGCAAGCCAGTGACTCAGCCCCTGCAACAGGGTTAGAGGCAGAGAACCCCAGTGGAGAGGGGAACCGGCCTGGCAGAGACAGCAAGGGCTGTTCGTTGCTCCAGCCTTTCCGTTCACCTTCACACTCCTGGGCCAGACTACACTCAATCATATGACCTACTGAAGAGATAAGTCTTCAGTAAAGACTTAAAGGTTGAGACTGAGTCTGCGTCTCTCACATGGGTAGGCAGACTGTTCCATAAAAATGGAGTACTATGGAGCTGCGGCTTGGATTATTGCTTCTTCATACTACAGTGGGGAGAACAAGTATTTGATACACTGCCGATTTTGCAGGTTTTCCTACTTACAAAGCATGTAGAGGTCTGTAATTTTTATCATAGGTACACTTCAACTGTGAGAGACGGAATCTAAAACAAAAATCCAGAAAATCACATTGTATGATTTTTAAGTAATTAATTTGCATTTTATTGCATGACATAAGTATTTGATCACCTACCAACCAGTAAGAATTCCGTCTCTCACAGACCTGTTAGTTTTTCTTTAAGAAGCCCTCCTGTTCTCCACTCATTACCTGTATTAACTGCACCTGTTTGAACTCGTTACCTGTATAAAAGACACCTGTCCACACACTCAATCAAACAGACTCCAACCTCTCCACAATGGCCAAGACCAGAGAGCTGTGTAAGGACATCAGGGATAAAATTGTAGACCTTCACAAGGCTGGGATGGGCTACAGGACAATAGGCAAGCAGCTTCGTGAGAAGGCAACAACTGTTGGCGCAATCATTAGAAAAATGGAGGAAGTTCAAGATGACGGTCAATCACCCTCGGTCTGGGGCTCCATGCAAGATCTCACCTCGTGGGCCATCAATGATCATGAGGAAGGTGAGGGATCAGCCCAGAACTACACGGCAGGACCTGGTCAATGACCTGAAGAGAGCTGGGACCACAGTCTCAAAGAAAACCATTAGTAACACACTACGCCGTCATGGATTAAAATCCTGCAGCACACGCAAGGTCCCCCTGCTCAAGCCAGCGCATGTCCAGGCCCGTCTGAAGTTTGCCAATGACCATCTGGATGATCCAGAGGAGGAATGGGAGAAGGTCATGTGGTCTGATGAGACAAAAATATAGCTTTTTGGTCTAAACTCCACTCGCCGTGTTTGGAGGAAGAAAAAGGATGAGTACAACCTCAAGAACACCATCCCAACCGCGAACCATGGAGGTGGAAACATCATTCTTTGGGGATGCTTTTCTGCAAAGGGGACAGGACGACTGCACCGTATTGAGGGGAGGATGGATGGGGCCATGTATCGCGAGATCTTGGCCAACAACCTCCTTCCCTCAGTAAGAGCATTGAAGATGGGTCGTGGCTGGGTCTTCCAGCATGACCACGACCCGAAACACACATCCAGGGCAACTAAGGAGTGGCTCCGTAAGAAGCATCTCAAGGTCCTGGAGTGGCCTAGCCAGTCTCCAGACCTGAACCCAATAGAAAATCTTTGGAGGGAGCTGAAAGTCCATATTGCCCAGCGACAGCCCCAAAACCTGAAAGATCTGGAGAAGGTCTGTATGGAGGAGTGGGCCAAAATCTCTGCTGCAGTGTGTGCAAACCTGGTCAAGACCTACAGGAAACGTATGATCTCTGTAATTGCAAACAAAGGTTTCTGTACCAAATATTAAGTTCTGCTTTTCTGATGTATCAAATACTTATGTCATGCAATAAAATGTACATTAATTACTTAAAAATCATACAATGTGATTTTCTGGATTTTTTATTTTAGATTACGTCTCTCACAGTTGAAGTGTCCCTATGATAAAAATTACAGACCTCTACATGCTTTGTAAGTAGGAAAACCTGCAAAATCGGCATTGTATCAAATACTTGTTCTCCCCACTGTATGTAACGTATTCCCAGTAAATTTTGTGATGTTTTTTTCCCCCTGTTCAGAGAAATTAGCCATTGAAGTATGGTGGATTGTGTTACAGGCTTTGGTTTTTCTATTTATATTTTGAGGTTGGACGTTAGCACATTAGCACGTGGGATGCACCGATTGGTGTCACCTCGTTAGTCAGTATGTGTTATACCTGTGCTGGATTGTCATAATAATATGCCATTTAGCAGACGCTTTTATCCAAAGCGACTTACAGTCATGTGCGCATACATTTTTACGTATGGGTGGTCCCGGGGATCGAACCCACTACCCTGGCGTTACAAGCGCCATGCTCTACCAATTGAGCTACAGAGGTGCTGGCCCAGGTGATATTTAAGAGTGGCTGGCCCAGTGCTCCAGTTGTCTTGAGAGATGTGGAGGGTTAACACCTTTAGTTGGCTCTCCCCATTTGATTTCTAGAAAAACAATCCTTTATCTGACCTTCCTTGTTTTCGTTTTGCTCCACTTTTTGGTTTGCTTCCTGTCTTTAAGTTTGGTGTGGGTTTTAATTTCTTGACCAAATGTAGTGGGCACTCATGGTGGGTGTCTTTTAGGTCCCAGTTGCTGTTGCTTTCAGTGGACACCCCCATGATTGTCTTTAAAAGAACCCCTCCTAAAACCCCACCTGTTTAGTTTTGGTTGTTGTCAGTGACTCTTTCTTAGTTCCGCTTTCTGTTTGAGCGACAATTTTTGATTTTCTTGCTAGGGAACTTAACAAAATAAAGTTGCAGGAATGCTAATGTTTTCAGCTTTCTAACTACAGAAACAATTTCAGAACAATCTGAGATGGTGAGTGTCAAAATCCTCTTACTCGTGCTTTTTGAGGTGGAACAACCCTTTAAGTTGAAGCCGACAGCCACGGTCATTTCAATCAAATTAAATTAAAGAGAGAGATCCATTTGATGACAGAAGGCCTCTAGATTAGGAGAAACCTGAGTGAAAGCATAGAGCCATGGACCCCTATCTATCCATCAATTGGATTAGGGCAGGCTAAACAGTGAAATTAAATTCAATTCAATGAGAGGGAGGGGGTGTGAGCCACTACGGGGCAGTGGATAGATGCAAAATGAGGCAAAGTCCCACTTGTTTCTCAGAGCAGAAAGTAGGCTAACATTAGAGAAAGGTTGTTTAATGAAGCTCCATCGCCCTGTTGCTGTTTTTGCTAAGAGAAGCTGCTGTGGGGCATGGACATTCTCACAGTATTGTTACATAGCAGCAGCAACGTTTGAGGGTCAAAAGTCTAAAGAGACATTTCTGTGCTGAAACAGCTATCCTCAATGACAACTGATGACCTTGTGCACCAGAACACACGTTCTGTCTCACTGCATGGTTTTATTACAGGAGCAGGAGAGTGGATGGAGCGAAGCAGGAATTAATGAGGATGACAAAGCTAATTATCACAGGGGGCTGACACTGCTTTCCTCCCTGGGAATGGTGAGCGAGAAGACAGCATAGTGGCTTTGTACCAGGTCACAACCACATTCATACTCCTGAGTGGCGCAGTGGTCTAAGGCACTGCATCGCAGTGCTAACTGTGCCACTAGAGATCCTGGTTTCGAATCCAGGCTCTGTCGCAGCCGGCCGCGACCGGGAGACTCATGGGCGGCGCACAATTGGCCCAGCGTCGTCCAGGGTAGGGGAGGGAATGGCCGGCAGGGATGTAGCTCAGTTGATAGAGCATGGCGTTTGCAACGCCAGGGTTGTGGGTTCGATTCCCACGGGGGGCCAGTATAAAAAAAAAAAATGTAATCACTAACTGTAAGTCGCTCTGGATAAGAGCGTCTGCTAAATGACTAAAATGTAAATATGAGATACAGCATTGATTGCTACTAGATCACATTCATGTGGCTCCTGAGAAGTGAAACACTTCTCCAGGCGTGGTGAGATTTGATGGTCTGCACAATGTGCAATAAAGATGGAATGTGGATAAAGACATGATGACCCATCTCTCGCTATAGTAGGGGAGATTATGTTGTGTGGAGTTCGGCCAGATTTCTCATTTCCATACAGCAGATAGATTTTACTGTTGTTTCAAAAACATCAAAACAAACAACCCCTCAATGGCATGTATTGATTCTCTGAATAAGAGAAGGACAGTTTACCACATAGCCTAATGTATGGCAAGTGGTGAAAGAAAGGGACTGTATTGAAATGGTCTATGCCATTGTTTCAAATGCAACATTGTGCGGTATTAGCAGCAGGTTTGCTTTTTCAGCCATGTCAGTCAGTGTACGCAAGTCCTCTCTCAGCCAGTCCTCATTAGAAAGTACTTATACAATATCTTGTCATCAGTCCCCCCAATCACCCACTCTAAGCAGGGGTGGTTTCAGTCATTTTTCCACAGCATGTGAAGGCTGGGTTGCATTCATTAGGGAACACAATGGAAAATGTTCTAAAGCGTTTTGCAATGGAAAACGAAAATGCGGCAGGTAGTCCGTTCGTGTTTCCGTTTGTTTTCTTCCATTTGACTCCTCATGAACACGACCCTGCTCCCAACCCAAACAGGAAGCATTCTCATTCTTCCAGGAGACTGCTTACAGTAATCATGGGGAAGGAGGACTCCCAAAGGCTAAGTTACAAAGCCTATGGTGAAAAATGAGGCTCACTGGACCTTTAAACCCCTTTACCTTATGCAGCTACTGTGGGCAATATGCAGCTGAGATTATGTTGATTGTTGGTTATTTGAGACAATGGTATCACTGATTGTGAGTAATCAAAGCCCTCACAGCTGTAATGATTACAATACGATTTCTTGCAAATATCAATTTGATCCAATTCGTGTTTATTGTTGACATTTGGCAATGTGACTATTTTGGACTATCATTTGAAAATGTACATGTGGAGAACACAACACAGCCTCTGGAGAGTAGGGTGCCTTACCTTAGCCTTGCCGGTGCTCTGTAGGATGTGCACCAGGGCACTGGCCATCTCCTCCTTGTTCTTCACACTGAGGCCAGGCTCCATAATGGAGCACATCAGCATGTAGTTATTGGTAATGTACTCTGCAAACTCTTTATATAACTCCATAGGCAGGATGCTCATGCTCTGGTACCGCAACTTGAGCCGAATCATAGGTCCGGGCGTTTTCCCTTTGTTCGGGTTGGGCGTGCTCACAGAGTACCACTTTTCCATAAACTGGCGTCCTGTGACGGCGCCGGTGGGAATGTTGACAAGGCCCACATAGCTGTTCTTGTCCTTCTTTTTCTTTTTGTCCGTCTCCTTGTACAGGTGGACAGTGACACTTTTGATGGCAGGTAAGTTGTTGAACTCAAAGTGCTCTCCCCAGAACACATTGTCTGTTTTCAGTTTGCAGGTAGTCCGTGCGTAAAGCGTGTCGTCCAGACACAACTCACAGAAGTACCTTTTCTTGGCTGGAAGGTCCTTGGACTCAATAATCCACAATTTCAGCAGGTTCTCTACACGCCAACTGTTGTCCTGTGAAAAACATCAAACGTGAGACTTCAAACAGCAACATTTTCATGGGTGCTCTGACATGTGTTCTACTGTAATGCTATTTCCTTACACAGAGGGCCCACTACTTGCATAGAGTTTACCTTGTTTGGATTTACAGCTCTCCTTAAGTTCTCCATCCATTTGTCCCTCTCGGCGGATGACCGACACGAAAAGCATTTTGTTCCAGTGGAAGTGGTTACCTGTGAAGTATGGCAGACAATTAAGCCCTTCCCTTTAGGTTATAGATAATGAAAAAGACCCATATGAAAGCAGGGTTGGGTAGAACACACACACGTGCCAACTGGGCTGCAGGGTCTGTGCACAATGATACAATGCATACGTAACACTGAGCCTGGACAGCCATTGAAATCCTCTTGCACTTGATCATGAGAGAAACGCTTGTCCACTCGGTCACAGAGCCATGATCTGTCCAGCTGGCAGCGTGCTTTAGCATAATAGGCAGTAAATCCTTGTGAATGGGGCCCTCTCGGAGCTCACCTCTCGGAGCAAATTCACAGAGAGCAGGAGCATGGAGATGCCAACAGATGGGCCAGACAGACACACAGGCCACTACCAGGCAGGAAGAGGGGGCAGGGAGACCCTCCTGGCAGTGGGGACGCTCCCTAGCAGATTCCCAGCCACACACTCAACCTACCCAATGGCACTGACTGCTTGACAGACATTGAGGGACCCGCCCACCTTGTATTATGCAGGTTTTCAGACATAGGTAATGGCGATGAAATGAAGAGTAGATTAGACACAATGCATTATATACAGTGCTTTAGGATCCTAAGAGATGCTATTAAAAAGAGTCTGCGGTTCGCGAGCCTTGAGCTGCGGCAGTCATCAGAGGCAGTGGTGGTGCTGCTGGGAGGGCTCACCTCGAAGCAGTAGTCCTGGCCCAGGATGCTGCTGTGCACCGGTTTGATCAACACCTCGTCCTCCATGCTGAGATCAAAAGCTTCTACTGCACTGCTGGGGCTGAACAACGACTCGTGAGACCGTGATTCCTTCAGCCTAGGCATTAGATGGGATCTGGGGGAGAAGAGGAAGAGATACAGTCAGTCAGTCACACACATACAATATCTCAACACAGGCAACAGTCAGCTGTGTGTTCCAAAAAAAGACTGGTGTTGTGGGTGCACCCTGTCGGATGCCACTGGCTCTGGCCCTACGGGGTTGGCATGACTGAGATCTACATTATTTCCCAGCTGGTAGCTCTCCTACTTGGATGGGCTTTAGATGGTCTGGCAGGTGGGTAAGCTGCACCAACACAATGCTTTATAGGGCCTCTGGCAGAGCACAGCTGCAGAGACAAGGAGGTGGCAATCTGACTCGTCACTCAGTCACTAGGCAGGGAAGACTACCATCGTGGCCATTAGATGTGAACAGCAATAACACAGTTCAAGTGAACAATCAATATCCTTGAAGTGAAAGAAGCCAAGAAAGCCATACTACCCACAGTAACATATGATAGCTGATACAGATATAGAAGATATTCGTGCAACCAAATAACTGCAAGGGTTCCTTTTAGTTTTATTGGTTCAATATTTTAGTTGTCTGTAAAAAACATGGCATTCGTAAAACAAGTATCACAACACGCAACCTTCAATCCTCAACTCGAGTTTATTGACCGAAAAAGCCAAAGCGCCAATTATAGGGGAATGGAAACACTAGGCTTTAGAACGCCAGCTAACAGTAACTGTAAATCGCCATTTTGGCATTGTTGCATCATTTACATTTTAGTCATTTAGCAGACGCTCTTATCCAGAGCGACTTACAGTTAGTGAGTGCATACATTTTTCATACTGGCCCCCCGTGGGAATCAAACCCACAACCCTGGCGTTGCAAGCGCCATGCTCTACCAACTGAGCTACAGGAGGCATCACTGGCAGGAGAGAAAGTTGTCACAATGTTTGCTACTACAGTATATGCTCTTCTTTCTGTTGGTTAACTCCTGCACATTACAATTAATTTCTAGGAGGGTAAGCAGGGTAATTGAGCTCCTGCTGGGCGGCAAAAAGGAGAGATATGTGCTTACTCATTGCTCCCCTGGCTCTTCATTGGCTGCATGAATTAAACATGAATCTACTTCCTGCCTCGGGATGAGTCGGGAAAAATCCTCAGGTGGGGAGTGAGTCGTCACATTCTCTAGCTCAGCTCATTTGTATTGTGGTGGGGACACAGTGAGGAGCTGTGAGAAATACAGAGAGATACCTGGCAGAGCTGAGAGGTCCGACTAAAATAAACCTTCCTCTCTGAGAAGCTATATCCTTTGGGGGAAAACTTTAAGCATGCGGGTAACATTTTAAAATAGAGTCTTTGGGAAGCTCTGGGTGGATTTTGTTCTTGGTGACTGTTTAAAATAGTTTACAATAAGCCTTAATGAAACAAATTGTACTAGACTTGTACTAGTGTCCATGCAATAATGTTATAATGGTTTTTGAATGAAAATGGGTCTGGTTCCATAAAATAGGGCAGTGTTTCCTAACTCCTCGAGTACCTCCGCCTCAGCCTCTACCTGTCAACTAATCATCAAGCCCTCAATGAGTTGAATCAGGTGAGTTTGTCTGGGGCTACAACAAAAATGTGTGCTGTTGTTGGGGGTACTCGAGGAGTTGGGAACCACTGATATAGGGGATCAATAATGTAAAACAAATCCTAATATTTCCAGTCAATGACAAACAAGTGTCAGGATCAAACTCCAAGGCAGTAGGCTAGCTCTGTAACTCATGCTGCAGTCTGTTAATGCACAGTGCTGACAACATTGCTGCTTTTTAATTCACTTATTGAGAGATTCATGCCCGTCTGATGGCAGCTATTCAACTTGCAGTCTGTGGCTCAGCATTTACCCAATGATCTTGTCAATGCCACTGCAGGCCGTTGGGGGCCAAGCACACAAACAGCCGATAACAGCCAATTAAATGAGGTCAGACTATCGTGCCTCAGACGATGGACTCTGAATCGAATTTAACATAAAACAAACACTTTTCTATCTCTTACAGCACAGAATGAAAATATATAGGTACAGTAGCCTACTAGCACAGTTAGATATTTTGACGTATAAGGGAGTAATTCACGAATAGAATACTGTTTTCTAGTATTTCATGAGGTTATACGTATTGCTATTTGCACTGCAGACAGGTCCCATTGCTATCATTTAAAAACAATTATATCAGTAAAAAATGATATCCAACTCCATACTGATATGGTTGTTCATGTTTAAAAACCCTTAAATGTAAAAAACAATTGTAAGTGATTGTGGCCAACATTCACCGAAGGATTATAGGAAAACTCCACCCAAAAACTATCTTTTGGTATTTGTTTCATTAGTCCATTTTTTATATAGTCACAAAATGTTTTGCATATCAGCAATGACGTTTTCAAGATATGCAGCATCATATGATGCCGAATGCGTCATACCAGCTGTATTTTGAAAGTTATATATCTTGAAAACTTGACTGCTGACATGCAAAACATTTTGGGACTATATCAACAATGGACTACTGAAACAAAAGATAGTTTTGGGGTTGAATTTTCCTTTAAGAAGACTGAGTGCTGGCTTAGTACTGTCCCAAATGGGGGAATCAACATTTGGAACAAACACAAATCGCAGGATGTAGTTCTCACAGTCAAAGTGATGTCAAACCTTATAAAGTGAAGAGCCGGTGATGCTGCCAAGGAATTGGACTGGCTTATAGGAGCCTGAATAAAAATCACAAGGCATTCTGGGAGCATGACAGGAAATAACAAGGTCATTAAGCGCGGAAGAAACAAGCGCCTTTGTGACTCAGCTGAGTCAAAGGGACTGCATTACTAAACACAGAACACACTGGAGATAAAAAATAAAATAAAATGTGGATACAGTAACATGCCTGCATGTTTACAATAGACTGAAGAATATAACTCACTCAACACTTGGGCGGTATAATGTATTTTACTATATACTGGTATTGATGCAGACTATTTATTTTTTCCCTTTACCTTCTATAACGGTATTTCAATGTTTGGTTTGTTAAATGTGACACGCCATTCTGTTTTTATAGTTTACCCTGCTACTTGAGCAATCTCTCACCAAGCCACGCCCCCTGTCACTCAAGGAGCGCAGTTGTTGTTGATCCACCACAAGATTATTTGCTGACCATTCACTCTTCAGTCTGCATGGTCAACACAGCAGATGAAACAATGTGGATGGCAACGATGCTGCTTTCCACTTTGCTTCTTTAATATAAATCCACAAGTGTTCTATAATTACACTATTAGTTTGTGTATCTTACGGTCTGCAAACAGCTAGTTTGTCTTTTCTTAGCAAGTTGTGGCAAAAAGAAATCATGTTAGCCGCTAATGCTAATCGCTGGTAAGCTGGCTAGCTAATAAATCTACTGAGTCTGAGCAAACGTATATAGCTAATACAGCCTGATACCAGTGCGGGTGTAGGCCTAAATCAGCATGTTGTTTGTGCAACATTATCTTCTAAATCAGAGCATATTAGGGGAAGCATAAACATGTTAGCTACATGAAGTAAGAGAAAACATTTAATGTAGCCAAAGATTATAGTGTCCAACTCGCCTGGGAAACACTGACCAACACTTTGGTTCCTACCCTGTCACAATAACACCTCCATAGAGATCCTATTAGTATTCTAATTTCTAACTCTATAAACGCCTCCCTGGCTTTTGCGTTCTTTGTCATGTCAAACAATGTATTCAAAGTGCCCACTGTTACATTATTACTATAGAATTAGAATAATCATTTTATTCCCATGATTTCAACAGTTCACCCAAGTGTTTTGAACTAAATCAAAATTGCAATATTTGGTCAAAAATAAGTCAAATGAGATCATATTTTTGTTGAAGTTTGATTGAACAGTAAAAAACTATCAGAATGGAGAAAGCCCATTTGAGATCACTTATAATGTATGTGTTGCCACCCTAGGGTCATGCACAACTCATAAAGCAAATGTAGAACTTGTATCATTCAAAAACATATATAACTACCATCAAATAGCGCAGTAGCAACACAAGGATATAACATTTACAGAAGAGACAGGAATGCCTATGGAGGAGGTGTTGCTGTGTGTGTGTGTGTGTGTGTGTATGTATATACAGTACCAGTCAAAAGTTAGGACACACCTTCTCATTCAAGGGTTTTTCTAAATTTTTTACTATTTTCTACATTGTAGAATAATAGTGAAGACATCAAAACTATGAAAAAACGCATATGGAATCATGTAGTAACCAAAAAAGTGTTAAACAAATCAAAAGATATTGTACAGTGGGGGGAAAAAAAGTATTTAGTCAGCCACCAATTGTGCAAGTTCTCCCACTTAAAAAGATGAGAGGCCTGTAATTTTCATCATAGGTACACGTCAACTATGACAGACAAAATGAGGGGGGAAAAATCCAGAAAATCACATTGTAGGATTTTTTATGAATGTATTTGCAAATTATGGTGGAAAATAAGTATTTGGTCAATAACAAAAGTTTCTCAATATTTTGTTATATACCCTTTGTTGGCAATGACACAGGTCAAACGTTTTCTGTAAGTCTTCACAAGGTTTTCACACACTGTTGCTGGTATTTTGACCCATTCCTCCATGCAGATCTCCTCTAGAGCAGTGATGTTTTGGGGCTGTCGCTGGGCAACACAGACTTTCAACTCCCTCCAAAGATTTTCTATGGGGTTGAGATCTGGAGACTGGCTAGGCCACTCCAGGACCTTGAAATGCTTCTTACGATGCCACTCCTTCGTTGCCCGGGCGGTGTGTTTGGGATCATTGTCATGCTGAAAGACCCAGCCACATTTCATCTTCAATGCCCTTGCTGATGGAAGGAGGTTTTCACTCAAAATCTCACGATACATGGCCCCATTCATTCTTTTCTTTACACGGATCAGTCGTCCTGGTCCCTTTGCAGAAAAACAACCCCAAAGCATGATGTTTCCACCCCCATGCTTCACAGTAGGTATGGTGTTCTTTGGATGCAACTCAGCATTCTTTGTCCTCCAAACACGACGAGTTGAGTTTTTACCAAAAAGTTATATTTTGGTTTCATCTGACCATATGACATTCTCCCAGTCCTCTTCTGGATCATCCAAATGCACTCTAGCAAACTTCAGACGGGCCTGGACATGTACTGGCTTAAGCAGGGGGACACGTCTGGCACTGCAGGATTTGAGTCCCTGGCGGCGTAGTGTGTTACTGATGGTAGGCTTTGTTATTTTGGTCCCAGCTCTCTGCAGGTCATTCACTAGGTCCCCCCGTGTGGTTCTGGGATTTTTGCTCACCGTTCTTGTGATCATTTTGACCCCACGGGGTGAGATCTTGCGTGGAGCCCCAGATCGAGGGAGATTATCAGTGGTCTTGTATGTCTTCCATTTCCTAATAATTGCTAGTTAACAAGTTCAAACAGGTGCCATTAATACAGGTAACGAGTGGAAGACAAAGGAGCCTCTTAAAGAAGAAGTTACAG